GGAAATGTCGACAGGTTCCTGGGAGGTGGCAGGTCAGGTCTTCCCGGTGCTGGATGCCAAGAAGGACCCAGCTCCCATCGGTCTTGACTCTTCCCTCCAAATACCACAGGCTCAAGAGATGAATTTGTCCTTCAGATCCAAGCCAGCTTCTTTTGACATTTGGGTACTTTTGTGGGCTGAAATGTACCCTCCTTCAAATTCATATGCTGAAGTCCTTAACCCCCAGTAACTCAAAACATGGCTATATTTGGAGAAGGGTCTTTAAAGAGGTCATTAGGTTTAAATGAGGTAATTGGTGTGGGCCCTAATCCAATATGACTTTTAAGAAGAGAGAATTTGGGCATGGATGCACATAGAGAGAAGACAGGAAAAGACCGCTATCAACAAGCTAAGGCCTCAGGAGAAGCCAACCCTGCCGACATCACACTCTCTACCTCTTTGACCCCACAACACAGCTCTCTACCAACAACTACTAAGAATTTGCCAGGGAAGGTGACTCCTATGCCATGCCCTCCTTACGGAGGCTGGTAAGACACAGAAACACGCAGACCTTTGTTCTTGGGGGAAGTGGGGCTCCTCAACACAAGAAATGGTGGTGACTGTCCATGGAGGTATATATCTTCAAAGCCACCAACAAGTCCTGCTCATGCTAGCTGAGTGGCCACCACAGCACAGAACAATGAAAGGCCTGGGTGCGAGTGTGTTCAGATTTTTCCACACGGCTCAAACTTTTATCCTAAAATCTCACACCTATGGAGTCTTTGCTTCAAACAACCTCTTTCTCCAGAGACTGAAAAGTAATTTTGGCTCACCCCTTTAAATTTTCAATCATATGATTTAAGTAAATGAAGTTCCTGTCTACACCTTTTCTCACCAATCTTAATCAAAACAAATGATGGATGTTGAGTGGCAACAGTGACAATTGTGTGAAACAGCAGCTTTTGCCAGGTGAAGGCTCTTTTTTGAATTTACCATGTTTATTTAATATCTTTATCCAGTCCTCTTTGGTACAATTAGAACTTGTAATAATTTTTCTGACCTACTTCACTGCAGTGGGCTAGTTCTCCTGGCAACCATCCACCGCCATCTCCATCACAAGACACGCTGGCCATCCCTCCCCTCTCCAGTCTATTCCTCCCCTTAGCATTTCATTTGGTGGCACATTTTTCACTCCCAAGGCCACCCCTGCAGGTCTCCTACCCACAGGAGCCTCGTTAGTGCATACCGGAGACTGAGCTGCTCATCACATGCATACATACCTGTAGACTTGTGTGCCTCAGTTGTAGAAAGAGCAACTTGAGCAAGTTTCATTTTTTGAGGTGGGGATTCCACAGATAAGTCACTCTACTTGTTTCTTCTTGTTCTGAAATTATCAAACTATTTTCTGAACATTACAAATACCCCCATTCGTCTTCCTACTCCTCAGTAGCTGGGTCCCACTAAGCCTTCATTTTATGATACTCCACCTTCCACTCCCCTCCCTTGTTTTCAGGCTGTTCCTTTTGGTTTATCTAGTCACACCACATCTATTCTGCAATCGTGTTTTCCTTCTTATTATTCTTGTTGTTTAAACACTTCCTTTGACTGTATCAAAGCATCTTGTAACCCAGCTATTCATTTTATCTAATTCTATGTTGTAGCAATCAAGCACTTTTAAACCTTTCTTACTCCTCCAGCCCTCAAAGCCCTAATTCTACAAGTTGATTTGACTTTCCTGTCAGGGAGATAAGGGTATTCATTTTAGAACTAAAACCCTCCCTTGAGCAAGATCACCTTTATGAAACCATGTGAAGGTCTGTCAGATCCAGAATCCTTAGTGTGGTCAGTATGAGACAGTGACTGACTGACTGTGTAAGAGTAGTATTCAGCCTGGGGTGGAGAGTTTCTTCACAGCCCTTGATTACTTGGGTGTGTGGGGGGTGGGGGTGGGGTGGAAGTATTTATGCATTCACTTGTAGTGGGAGCCAGGGAAAAGGACAGTTTAAAATGAAGACTGTGTCTGTGTATTGTGAGTGTGGTTGGTATAAGAGTAACAGTATCTCACTTAGCAATAATATTCAGAAACACAGACCCAGGGATGCTTTTGTCTATCCACAGATTTGATCATGCCCATGTGGTCTGTTTTCAGACCTGTTGTAGAAAGTCCTTCTTTTGTCTTCTGCTCCAATGCCTTTGGTCTTCAGTTGGTCCTGCCCTGAAATCTCCAATTGAGGAATTGTTTCTCTGGCTATGGCTCTGAAAGTTAACCGGCAAAAGTCCTCTAATAGCCTCATCAGCCATTAACACATGGATGCAAGTTGGCTTATCAGTCCCGACAGAGTCAAGCAGTAGTGTCTGGTCCCCTTGTCTGTCATTAACACCTCCATGCCAAATAGGTTATGAGATTGGGTAGCTCTGGAGCCAAATTAGCAGGAGGGATGAGGCATAAGGCACTTTAGAAGACTGATGCAGCCATTTGACACAAAAGCCCACCCTGGCAGAGTCTCAGAAACACCAGAAGATAACACAGAAGAGAACTGCTCCCCCCCCCAAGACACCCAAACGAGAAGGCATGTCACTAGCTTGTTGATTTAACTTTTCTAGCATCTGAGAGTGGAGAGAAGGGAAGTGTTGACATAATTTGTAAAGATTGATTTCAAAGGAAGGAAAATGACAAGTTGCTCTGGGGAAAAAGCATTTCCAGTGGGGGACCCTCTTTCCTGAACTTTCAGGTTCCAACACCAAAGATCTGCTTCTCCATGCCTCACTATTCTGCCCTTGCCCAGCTCCAGGAATTTACACTCAAACCAATTGTTTCCCATCATAAAGCCTTGAACTGAAATATGAACACATTCAATCTGAATCAGAGGATCATGTATATCAAAAGGACTATAAAAACCAGTCATTTCTGCTGCCTGCTTGACATTCTCAAGGGAGGAGATATCCTGAAGCTCATGAACCCTCTCTCACTCCCCAGCCCTCTTTCTAGGCTCTGCACTTAATTTTGTATTTGTAATTTTGAGTTCTTAAATAAGTCCCTGCCACCCCACAAATTCCTAAAACCTCAGTGCTCCCCTCCCATGGTCATCCTTGATGATCAGCCTTGGTCAGACTCACAAGGAACATGGAGCCACGTGAGCTGGCATGGTAGTGGTGGGTGTCCATTTAATTAGGAAAAGCCAAGTCCACAAACTCTACTGGAATTTCCCCACAAAACTGCCAGACCTAGTAACTTTATATTCAGGCCATTCAAATGCCCTTTGCTCAGCTGTTTTTCTCTCTTACCATTCTCTTTCATATTCTACACCACCTATTCGGAGAGGTAGTTACACCTTCCTCTCCTTCACCACCCACACTTGTAGATGACTAGGGTCATTTAACAGACACCAAAAGATAGGGGGAAACGTTTCCAAGTTGTTTGGAGAAGGGGGATATCTTTTCTTTC